TGCCTGGTCCCCTTCCCCCAATTCCCCAGCGCTGTTCCCATCTCCCAATTCCCCAATAAAAATCTTAAAAAAAAAAAAAAAAGTAATCAGAATAGAAAGCAAAAACAGGTTTACCATTTTTAAAACAGAAGCACAATTACTTGATAAAGTCTTCTAAATGATAATTATTCCAACATCAGTCCATCCAGATACATTCACAGAAAGTACTAACCTCTTTTTCCCCGAGTACCATTCAATGAAGAACCAATGTAAGACAAGAGGAAGCATAGCCATAAATCCAAGATAGAGCCAATCATAAAGTTCTGGAGACTCTGTACAAGGCTGACAATATTTCTGTGCATTTGTTCTCTGTCCTCTTGGACACACCTACAATATGTAAAAACAATATTCTATTTACAGATATTATTTTGGAACATTAACACCCCCCAAAACATCATTCTATAAGATATCCCATTTCTGGTTAAACATGTTTACATGTGCATTCTTTAGAAATAAAGAAGAGAAAGCATAAGTAAAATAAAAAAGAAATCTACATTGTATTTGCCTATATCTGTCTAATGCTCTTAAAGGATTCTTTTTACTAAGTTACTAAAATAGTTCACTAATATTAAATTAAAAACCTCGTTATTAACATCATATAAAAATAATTGCAAAGAAGTGCTGTGGAGTTGTAATGTTAACTTACTTGGATGTCCAAGTCACTGTCCTATATAATTAATAAAAAGTAATTTTTATAATACTTATTATAAAATTATAAAATGTTTTTAAAATACTTAATAACCGAGACAGTCAAGAGATATATTACAATCAATGCCACACAAAGAGTTTATTAATGCCTCCACATTCTTTTATAAATTAATGAGTACATTGAAAGAAAAAGATATTCTACATGTGAAAATACTTCAAAACCAAAAAGACTTTACAAATGAAATAACATGCAACATTAAGACTTACCCCACATTCTCCATATATTTCAGTTGAGCCATTTTTAAATAATAGGGTCTTCCCACAGTAAAGTCCAAGGCATGCTGGTTGAATATCGACAGCTTTTTAAAAACAAATGCCAGTACAGTAACATCTTTTGTGATTATAAAAAATAATGCAATAATAGTTGAAGCACTTGGCAGAAATATCTCAACACAGTTTCAAGTAAAAAATATGTGCTATAATGACAAAAGTCTTGATGCATTTTAAAACTTAGATTTCTCCTTTTACATTATGACACTGCAGAAAGTTATAGTGGAATCTTGTTAATACTGTTTCTTATGACTAAGGTCCTCCCAGAACTCAAAGCCTCACCTGGCATGCCTCCAATGGCTCCAGCCAAACACTTCCCTGGATGAGATGGTCTAGACTTCCGAATTTCCATTGTATTTTAATAAGGGGATTCATAGAGAATCACTACTTTCTATTTTGCTCAGTCAGGATATTAAGTGTGCACACGCACACACATACCCCACCCCCACAACAATCTATTTTTACTTTTTTTCATAATAGAACACATTTTAATACCAGAAAGCAGAAAGGACATAATTTTAGAATAAAGGGCAAGCCTCTAAAGTAAATAAATTCACCTTTATAAAAAGCTTATTACATTGTCCTAACTTCTGTCATTTTTGTCGAAGACAGGTGAAAATTTCATCAAGGCTGTCACTGGGCCACTGACCCATATCTGGGAACCACTGCCTTGGAATCAACCCCCTGACCTCAAGGCTTGAGGAAAATAAAAAGCAACTCTTCTTTACAAAAAAGCTCTGGGCCTGCAGATTGTCTTTGACCTCATCAACAGGTAGAAGTTATTGAAGGAGGATTTTTTTCCATCAGTGACATGTTTCCCTTCACTCAATGATTCATTCATTCAGTAAACATGCTTTAAGTGTCCGATTCCACTGGTTAGGACCACAGAGGAACATGACGGAGTCCCTGCCCTGAAGGCACCTACAACCTAGTATGAAATAAATCCCAAACAACTGTGGTCAAATGTGAATTAATTTGAAAATTATACATTTTATGATTATTCTTGAACCATCATTTCACAAATTCTTCATGAATTTACAATCTAGAGACTACCTGGTCCACAATGCCCTTTCTCCTTTCAAATTCAAGTGGACTTTTGATTTCTTTATCCTTGTGCTGCTGAGAAAAAACAGAAATAGCACTGACTAAAATGCCTCATTTAATATTTTCGCGTTTAGCAAATTTCTGATTTACCTTACTTGGCACTTATTTTTAAACCAATTGTAATTACAATGTTCTAATCTAAACTAATAGATGGAAATGAATTGTTTCAGATTTTTTTGAGAAGGCCGAAGTTAAAGAATTGTTAGCTTCTTCTACATGGGTTTTGCATCTAATAGATGCTAACTTAATACACTTGTGTAAATAATGTAGTTTCTCAAACCCAAAGCCTGAAAACCAGTATAAATGGAAAACTTGTGTGATAAACTGAAAACAACAGCTTATCATCGACCAAAGGAAACCCCGACTCCGTGTCCGTTCACTTTGCCCTTTCATTGCCTGTAGTAAGCAATGTAGAGCTAAAACTTTGACTTTTTTTGGTGCAATCATCTTGCCCCTTTGTGAAGGGCCCTATACATTTATGTTTGATGCTGAGGGAGACAATAGTTATGCGGCAGTTAGCTTCTGCTTCCTTTCCTGTTTTTCTGCACTTTACATTTTGAAGTCAATCCTCATGAATGTTAAACAAAGGTACTGAAACAGAAACTGATGTGACGTTTGGAACATAACAACAAAGGCCTGGCCTTTCTCCCAGCATGCAGCCGGCCTCCCCTCTGCAGCCTGTCAGGAGCTGAGACCACCCGGATCCCGGGAAGAGTCTCGGGCCCGGCCGGAGGGTGGGTGGGGGCAAGGGGCGAGGATGAGCCGCTACTCGGAGGCCGCCCGCCGGGGCCGAGCCCAGAGCTGGCAGCGTAGGGAAGCAGGGACTAAGTCAAACGCTTCCCCGGACCCCGCTGACCACTCACCCATTGGCCGCTTGTAAGTTTCCCTGGAGAAGCTCCAGGATCAGCCGACCCGGCCGCAGCGCCCGGACATCCGGGCCACAAGCTGCCTCAGCGGCTCCGCCTCCTGGTAACCCGGGTGGCCACTCCGAAGCCCCGCCCCTGCCTCGCGCTTCCTCGTCTGGGCTCCGAGGCCCCGCCCCCTGAGGCGGCCGAACCTCCTGCCCTTCTGGCACCAAGTGCGGGCTCCGGATTTAAAGCGCGCACTGCGGGGCGGTGGTCGAGTTCCTGGACGGGGACAATGGAGAGCACGCTGGCGCAGGTGCCCCAGCTGCCACCGCACGACCCGGGGACGCCGGCGCTGTCAGTGGTGGACATGCACACGGGAGGCGAGCCTCTGCGCATCGTGCTGGCGGGGTGTCCGGAGGTATCCGGCCCCACGCTGCTGGCCAAGCGGCGCTACATGCGCCAGCACCTTGACCACGTGCGGCGACGGCTTATGTTCGAGCCCCGGGGCCACCGGGACATGTACGGGGCCGTGCTGGTGCCTAGCGAGCTGCCAGACGCGCACTTGGGCGTCCTGTTCCTGCACAACGAGGGCTACAGTTCCATGTGCGGCCACGCCGTGCTGGCGCTGGGCCGCTTCGCGCTCGACTTCGGACTGGTGCCGGCGCCCTCGGCTGGCGCCCGCGAGGTCCGCGTCAACATCCACTGCCCGTGCGGGCTGGTGGCCGCCTTCGTGGAGTGCGAGGGCGGCCGCAGCCGCGGCCCGGTGCGCTTCCACAGCGTCCCGGCCTTCGCGCTGGCCACAGGTAACCGGCTGGACCCTCCCAGCCCGGGGCGGGGCGGCAGCCCTAAACTAACTATACTGACTTTCTGGCTGAATCCACGCCACGCAACTAACCCAAACCACATCCTTTGCAATCAATAAAAAGGTAATTCTAAATCACTGCGGGGGGGGGGTCAGCATCGTAGCCCTGCGGATTACTGGGGTGCATGCAAATCGATTATCCCACAGATCTATCCTCCTGTAGTCTTGAGAGCTTTGAGAAGTACAGAATTCCGCATTTCTCTCATTCAGCGCCTCATTCCCCACTCGTCAGTCATTTCTAGAGATTTTATGGTTGGATAAAACAAGGTCCGCAAGGGTCAAGGGAAGAGCAAAGAACAGCCAGTCTACTGGCTCAGAATACCCTCGCTAGACACATGATTATCCCCTGACAAGTTACTAAACACAAGTTACTAAAATTCGTCTGTAAAAAGTGCTTCTCCATTTCTTGGGGGAATAATTAAATGAGAATGAACAAAGCAATTTATAAATCGTGATGATATAATGTTGCTGCTCTTATTAAAAAACAGAGATATTATCTGAGTTCAAGTCCTGACAACCCCATAAAACTGTGCAACCTTAGTCAAATTACTTAATCTCTCTGTGCCTATGCTTTATTTATAATCTTATTGAGGTTATTTTTGTGTGTGTAAGGATTAAGTGAGAGTATGTAAGGCACTACTGAGAATATATACAGAGGGTGCCAAAAATATATATACACATTTTTAGAAAGGAAAAAAACTATTAAAATTGTAATACTCAATATATACTGATAACAAAAAATGAATACAAGTCATGTGTATACATGTTTTTGGCACCCCCGGTGTGTGTGTGTGTGTGTGTGTGTGTGTGTGTATTCCTACAGACAGGCTACAGAATATGTAGGATTGCTAGTTAGAGTTCTCTAGGTGTGCAAAGCATTCCAAAGGTTTTGGCAGGTTCCCTAGTACAGAGCCTGTATGTCATGTAAAACAGCTGCCTGTAACTACTCCTATCATCCTTATATAAAGGGAGGTCCCTCCAAAGAGTTGAATTCTATTAGTGAGGAGGCTTTAGTAGTCATGACTGGAAGTGAGCTGGGAGCTAATTTATCTAGCCAAGAATAGGGTTATCACCTCTTTTCTCTGTCTTCAAGCCATGCAAATAATTCTTGCAGTTCAATCTTGATCCTTCTCAAGGATTTGGATTCTGGATTAGCCTGATTATGAATGATGCTGTAATAGCCTAGATGTTTGTCAGTCTTAGAGCAACCTCAGGCAGCTGAAATACTCAAGTTTATGAAGAATGCCACTTGGGAAATTGATACCACTTTCTCCTTTAGAAGAGAACAGTGTCACATCCACAAAGGAGGGCACCTGAGGAAGACAGGAGTTAATGTTTCGGATTGCATCTCAAAAACCTCAACAATTTAACTAGTTTGGCTACCCAGGCCACCCCAGCAGCAGATGGAAAGCACTCTATATTTTGTGGGAAATGACAGTTGACAGTGGGGTCACCAACTACCTCAGTTCGGACTGGTTAGAGCAGCCATCCCTGCAAGCACAGTAGTTCCTGAGAGCATCACTGTGTGACTGTGCAATAGCCAGTGGGCATTAACGGTAACTTTGAGTCATTAAGAAAATGAAATCCTAAATACTTACAAAAATGCAAAAAAGAACAGTTGACAAGCAGTGTTCAATCAAGATCACTGCTCTGCCCCTCCCCATCTTGGTGACCTTGTGATTCTATTTCTAAATGTCATGTCTGTAAAAAGATGACAACAGTGCACACCTCAGAGGATTGCTGAGTCCATCTCCACTCCCCCTGCTAAAATGAAAACTCCGGAGTTTTGTTCACTGGATTCAAATGCTAGAACAGCCAATATTTGTCGAATGAGTAACTAAAATGAAATTTTAAGAAGAATATGCTGATTGACAAATGTAAATATTTGGTACTCTTGAGTCCTATTCCCATTGAAAATTAAACTTTTGGCTTTAATATTAACATTGCATTCCTAATCTGTGCCAAGCACTCTCCACACATTATCACATGGAATTCTCAAAAGAACCCTTTTGGGAGGGAATAGCAATTCTACTTTACAAATGAGGACACCAAAGCCACACTTAGCTTAGCTTTCCAGCAGTCCCTCATTTCCGTCTAATTCCTCATTCTTTCATCAAACATGCTTTCCATGTTCCACCGGCATCCACATAAAGACCTTTTTCATTCAGTTTTGCTCTTAAAGTTCCACAGACATGTTTTACTATTTTGATGATAAATTTGCTGTGTTTTGACACATCTCATATAAAAAGAGCTCTGTGGGCTAGCCTGTAACTGGTACCTTTGTATGACTGTGCAAACTCAGAAATACAAGAAATAGTTTATTTTTCAGAATTTAGTTTCTGAAGTTGAAACCCCACCCTGTCCTATTGGTTAACAGCCTCATCAGCCCATGTGCTGCCCCTTTCCCCGACATATGTGCAAAGTTTTCTGAAAAAATCCAAGGCCTTGGAGAAGTGGGCATTCGGTCCTCAGCTTGCATAGGTAACTGGTGAAGCATTGTCTGCCCTGTTCGTGTGGCCCATGCCCCTGCCTCCTCTCCTTGTGACTGCCTCTGTCACACCCCAACGCCTCTCCATGGTGCTGTGGGGAAGTCCACACGGGTCCTCTGTACTCAGGACCTTCAGCCTCTGCTCAGTCCAGAGGAAATTCCACTATTGACCAGGAGGCAGATTTCTCTCTCTCTCTCTTTTTTTAAAGATTTTTATTGGGGAATTGGGGGATGGGAACAGAGCTGGAGAATTTGGGGAAGGGGAAAAGACAAGTTCCTGTCCTTTTTGTTCTTCGGTCTAGTTGTGGAGGATGTTGTTTCACTGGCCCAAGTTGGCACCATCATCGCACTCTTCCCAGGCAAGGCAGATCACTCACCGGCCTCTGGACGGCCGCTCACGCTGGCTGCTGGCCGCTCACGCTGGCTGCTGGCTGCTGGCTACACATGGTAGCCCATGACAACCCACTGCTGCAGCCTGCGGTGCCTGCGACTCACAGCAGCCCAGCTCCAGGTCGAGCTGTTGTTCAGCATCTTAGCTGTAGAGGGCAGTGTCACTGGCCCTCATATGTGGGATCCGAACTGGGGCCCTCTGGCGTCCCAAGCCAGCTCTTAACCAGTGCGCCACTCGGCCGGCCCCAGATTTCTCTCTTCAGGACACTCCTTTGCCAACAAATGTGTTTCCCCTGAGATCTTCGGTTTCCATAGCCTGCTTTCTCCGCTGCCATATCCCTCTCCCAGAGGATGTGATCACCAAGCTCACTTGAATTGGGGAGGAGGAAGAGAGGAAAATGGGAGACGGGGGAAATAGGTTTAATGCCCCAAAATATCATCCAGCTCTATTCCTTTGGAAATACAAGTTTAGGATTTCAAACAACTGACCTAGTGAGACTTTGGGTTTGTTGGGCCTTAAAATACTCAAATGCAAAATGATATTGTAAAAGTCAGTGATTCTACAATGGCTTTATTCTGAGTATTTCCCTGCAGGATACTTTCATGAGATGAAAATGCATAAATGAATAAGTGTTTGGATATAACATACAGGAAAGATTTTTTTTCATTTTATTTTGACATTACAACTGAAGAAAACCAATTTGTGACTGGGATCCCCAATCCTCCCTATTTTAACCACTCCTAGTAGTATGAGAGGAGACCTACGTTTTCCTTCATAGTTTTCACACCTTGAAGTCCCAGGTTTTTTCCCTCTCTCTGCCTCTACAATGTTTCCTAGAAAAGATCCTCAGAATAGTTAACAAATATGTACATATGATTGAGGGAAAATATGGCATTCAAATGTTGAATCGTCAAATTAAAAATAGAAAGATGCACGTAACTATTATTACTTACCTGATGCTTACTCATTTTGAAGATGGATTTTTGTTTCATTCTCTTTATGATAGGAAGAAGCACCCCTCCAAATTATACATATTAAAAATTCTATGAATTTTATCACTGAAATACTAAAACAAACTTATTTTCAAATGCATCTCTTTTAGATCTCTCAGTGGAAGTTCCCGGTCATGGAAAGGTGGTGGTGGACATTGCATATGGGGGCGCATTTTATGCATTTGTTAGCGCTGAAAAGTTAGGACTCGATGTTTGTTCTGCAAAGACACGGGACCTTGTGGATGCAGCGAGTGCAGTGACCGAAGCAGTGAAAGCTCAGGTCAGTACAATCACTGCCATCATAAAAGCCTTCCTCTGTGGCATGGAGGGAATATGAATTACATGTCTATACAGAAAATGAAACATTTATATATTTAAATTATTAGTAATATTATTCTACAAATAGGGTACTGGTTTGAATCCTAGGCTCTAGAAAAAGACTATCTGTGAATTCTAGCTTTGCCACATGTAACTTTTGTAACCTTGAACAATTTATATAACCTCCATGTGCCTCAGTTTTCCCATCTGTAAAATGGAAATTATGAAATACCTGCTTCATAGAGTATTATAAAAATGAAATAGGTCAGGACTTAGAATAGTGCCTAGCCCATAATAAATGTTCAATAATGATAACTATTATTAACTTTAATAATACACATATACTAATATAATTTGTGGTTATTTAAAATATAGTAAATGTATCATAGTATTCCACTAATTTGACATGCATATGCTTTGCTATATGTGGTCATTCTACAAAACTTGAAAATAATGAATGTCAAATATAGCTTACAAAATAGATTTCATTAAATCTGATCAGACTTTCTCTTATTTCACGGAGAACAATAATTCCTAATTAGTGAATTTTTCCTATATTGCTAAGAAATTAAATAACTACTCAAGTAACTCTAGTTTTGGCTTGGGAAACTATTCTGATAAAATCAGTTTAGACTGTTCTTTCATTTCTAGCACCAGTCTGCCATTTTACCTTGAAATTGGGATCTATAAATAAAACTCATATACAGTATTTGAAGCTTTAGTATATGAAAATATAATTATTATTCTAAGTAAAAAATAACTTGTGAAACATAGTATCTAATATACTTGTACTAATTTGTTAGTAATTAATAATTATTTAAGGGCCTATTTAACATATCTGAGGCTTTACTTTATATATCCTTTATATATAATTTATAACTTAAATAACAAAGTGAAAATATATACTATATCCCTGTTCTAAATTATCATTTTTTCCAGGACTGTCAATACCAATATGTAGAATTATTTTATCATAGTAACTTTGAAGCTCTGAATTTATATCAGTTTTCTGTTCCATTAAGTAGACAGCTAATAGTTTGAATTAACAATTTGGCATAAAATAATTTCACCTTATTTTTAATAAAATTAAGAGGAAAAGGTGTAATTTTCTTAATAGAAGGAGTAATTTTGACTTTTTCATTGAAGCTTGAACTTTTCACCCAAGTTGCAAAAGGTGGATATTGAGGGAGGAGGGATTCTGAAAGAAATTTGAGAAAAAGTTCTCCTAGGGATAAATCAGGCAGTAGAACTACTTTGTAAATTTCTGACCTTTCATACTGCTGAATGAAAGGGAAAGGCCATTTGGGGGAGAGGGGTGAGGGCTGGAATTAATTTAATATAAATTCATCTTCATTCATTCATTCATTCATTCATTCTTTTAACATTTACCAAGAACTTATTGTATGTCAGACACCATGCTGGATGCTGAAGACACAAAGGAAGAACAGAGCCCACCTTCAAGGAGCTCAGCCTAGTGGGGGAAGCACACCTGTGAATAGTGTGATGCTGGAATGGTGCTAGAGTGGAGGGGGGACATCGGGGCTTTAGGACAACAGAGAACAAAGACCCAATATACAGGCCTCTTTAACTTGGTGGCAGATGGAGTCTTTGGATTGTAAGAATCCAAATCTATTCAACTGCTCTAAATGACAGGTAAGTGCAATAGAATGTACTGTGAGGATACACGTGGCCGTGAGATTACAGTCATCTCAGTCAAACTATCAGACCTTACAGAAATCCAGGAAAAGTTAAACAAACAGACCTCCTGAGAAGAACAGGAAGCACTGCACATTTGGGCCTGACCATGCTTTACCACTGAGGTGGCTTAGCTACCCTGTCAGTGCCTGCGTCGCTCTGTGTGTGTCTGCTGCTTTTCATGATACCAGCTGACTTCATCCTTTACATCTTTTTTGTTCATCCAGTTGTTTCTCTTGCCTAATAGCTTCTGCATTCTTATAACTTTTGCTTACTCGTGGCCTCTCACCATCCTCGTATCTTTCAATGGTATTAATAGATAGATACTCACTGCTTGATTTTTCTGCGTTATCCCCTTCACGTTCCTGAGAGTGAGGTTATGATTGCTTCCTCCTCCTCTTTGAGCAGCTACAGCCAACCTGTGAATGGACCATCCTGGGGTCAGTGATTTGAGTGTGGTGTTTGGGGTGTGTGTGTATCAAATAGGACTGTTCTTTTAGTAAAGGCGATGTTCAGGGCAACTTCCTTAATAAACACTCAAAATTATGGTATGAATCATAATTTCCAATAAAACTGTGTTTGTACATCTAGACAAAGACATAATTTCTAGTATTTAGTGCCTTGACCCAGAAGGTATTTTATAAATGATAAAGATGGAAAGGTTATGTCTAAGAGTACCCCAAATATGTTATTTAAAAGAAATTTGAGTCAAAATATTTACTTTACATGCGGTTGATAATTATTTGTTGTCTGCAGTTTAAAATTACTCATCCTGATAGTGAAGACCTTGCCTTTCTTTATGGAACTATATTAACAGATGGAAAAGACGCGTATAGCAAGGATCCAACCACCAACATCTGTGTGTTTGCAGATGAACAGGTATAAAAACTGTGATTTTAGGTACAAAACCCAGGTAATGTGGAACTAAAACCTTGTGACTGCCTTCATTTATGCCGACACAGGTTGACAGAAGTCCTACTGGCTCCGGAGTGACAGCCCGAATTGCCCTGCAGTATCACAAAGGGCTTCTAGAACTGAACCAGACCAGAGCCTTTAAAAGCAGTGCAACTGGCTCAGTGTTCACTGGGAAGGCTGTGAGGGTGAGTGACCCTCTTAGCTTCTCATTTGTAAATGTGTTACTGTTGAGACTGAAGAGGTATGTATTAGCTGTTAACTTCCTTCACTCAGCTATCAGAATTTTAAGACAGACCTGTAAAAATGTCTGTTCAACTAGGATATTGGTTCTCAAAGTATGGTTTGGGAACCCCTGGGGGTCCCCAAGATCCTTTCCATGGGTCCACTAGGTCAACACTATATTCATAACAACACTAAGACATCATTTGCTTTTCACTTTCATTCTCTCACAAGTGTACAGTGTAGTTCTCCAGAGGCTATGTGATGTGTGATATCCTGATATCCCAGCTGACTGATTATGGAAGCAGATAGGAGAATTTAGCTGTCTTCTGTTAAGCCAGGCATTAAAGGGGTTTGAAAATATGTAAAACAATGCCATTTTTCTCATTAAATTTTTGTTTTGGCAGATATTGTCACAAAAATTTGTTATTTATATTAACATGTAATGGGTTTATTGTTTTTTTAAATGAATTATAAACAAATATCTTTAATTACCAAAATAGTAGATATAACCTACATAAACAAAAACTCTTTGAGGTCCTCAAATCTTAAGCTACAAAGGGATCCTGAGACCAAAATGTTTAAGAATCATTAAATTAGTGTTTGTTTGTTTTTTTGTTTTTTATTCTATAGGAGTGTTTCATTTTATATAAGATGAAAGTTGTGGAAAGTAGAACTTTTGTAATGGAATCAAATTTTAAAAGGGCTAACATAACAGCTAATTAATGAACTTACTCATAGTAGTAAATGAAATCTACTACAGGGTGATAAATTTACATCTAGTACATGAGTCTACTCATAAAGAGTCCCTTAACATTGCAAACAATCTCTCCTAATAAACATTTTTATATCCTAACATAACTGTTTTTAAAGTTTGGTTTTCCTGAATATTGAATTTTCTTTAAGTTAGGGATTCCTATATAATACAGTGATCTTATGAGATACAAAACCATTAATGTTGTATGCAAAAATTTGGAATACATTGTCTTCAAGTCTGAGATTGAAAATAAAATAATAATCTACAACATTTATTGGATGCTTCACTATGTGTCAGTTTCCAAGCTAAGTACTTTATACATACCATCTCATTTAATTCTCACAAGAATCCTAGGAGGTCAGTACTGTTATCCTTTTTTAACAGATGATAGATATATTGGAGAATTAGAGAGTTTAGGTAATTTGCCAGAGGTCAAGCAGTGTGTAACGGAGCCAGCCTATGAACATACCCATAGGCTCAAAGCAGACCCCACACCCTAACCTAATAGTTGATATTTTACCTTAAACTGCAGCTATTCTCATTTTTAAACATTGGAAAATAAAAAGATACTCTGTAGTTAAGATTTGAAGTTATTTCTTTCATAGTTATTATCACACTTGCCAGAACATCATCACTTGTACCACTCTCCTTGCCTCTTTCTGGGCTTTTCCAAGCTCCTTTCTCTGTCCTTCCATTTAGGAGTCCCCAGCATTTATCCTTAACTTCCTTCTCATCTCATCTGCACTTTGATGCCACTGGGCAATTTCACCTACTAATGAAGCTTCAGCTCTCAACCACCTGCTGATGATGGCTTCCAAACCTTCCTGCTACCGTGCCTACCCTGGCCTTCTCTCCTGAGTCTAACATTGTATTCTAGAAATGACTGTCCCAGAGTTATCACAACTCAGCTTGTTAAAAAGCCTCCCTCCCTCCTTCCCTCCCTTCCTTCCTTCCTTCCTTCCTTCCTTCCTTCCTGCCTTCCTGCCTTCCTGCCTTCCTGTCTTCCTCCCTCCCTTCCCTCCTAAATGTGCCTCCCCTGCCTCATTCCCCATCTTGGTTAATGGTAACGCCAGCTTCACTTCCAAGCTAGAAGCTAATGTCATATTTAACTTATTCCTATTCCTCACCTCCCACGTACATCAGTCCCCAGTCTTGTCAATTCTACCTCCACAGTATCTCTGTATTTTGTTCTTCTCATCCTTACTATTGAGTTATCGGAAAAGTCATGACGCATTTTTGCAACGAAAACATAGAAAAAAATACGTCGTGACTTTTCCGACAACCCAATAAAAACTACCCTGGTGACTCTAGATTCAGTCAGTGAATTAAGGTTTCCTTTTAACAGGCTTTTGGGTGTCTAGTTTCTCTCATCTCCAATTTGTCCCCCACATTACAGCTAAACTTATCTAAAACACAGGTCTGATCAGGTTGCTCTTCTTTCATTGTCTGTTGGATTAACTCTTGGGTTTTCTTTAAAATAATAAAAATCAAGAATACAACTTTTAGGCCAGATACAGTATGGCTGCAGTATTTTGATACGGAACTCCTTTCATCATCATTTTTCAGGAAGCAAAATGTGGTGCTTTTAATGCTGTTATAGTGGAAGTATCCGGACAAGCCCATTACACGGGTACAGCAAGTTTTATAGTAGAAGACGACGACCCACTGAGGGATGGATTTCTTCTCAAGTGACTTCTTTGACTTTTAAGGTGTTTCTTTTTAAAACAATTATTTTCTATAACTAATTTGTCTCTGAATTATGTGGAAATCTATATCTAAATTGTACATGTAAGCCAACTTCCATTCTTTTAAAATTTTATATAGTACACTGTGGCTAAATATAGTCATCATACCTCATATTTGCATATATGTTGGTATAAATCTCACATTTAGCATACACAATGCCAAAGATTCAGAATATTTTTCTAGGGCCAGCCAAGTGGCGTGTTGGTTAAGAGCTGGCTTGGGACGCCAGAGGGCCCCGGTTCGGATCCCACATATGAGGGCCAGTGACACTGCCCTCCACAGCTAAGATGCTGAACAACAGCTCAACCTGGAGCTGGGCTGCCGTGAGTCGCCAACTACAGCTTAGGCTGCAGCCCCTGCTGCAGTGGGTTGCCATGGGCTACCGTATGTAGCCAGCGGCCAGTGTGAGCGGCCAGCAGCCGCTGTGAGCGGCCGTTCAGAAGCCGGCTACTGATATGCCTCTGCAGGGAAGAGCGCAATGATGGTGCCAACTTGGGCCAGTGAAGCAACGTCCTCCACAACTAGACTGAAGAACCAAAGGACAGCAACTTGTCTGTTCTCCTTCCCCCAATTCCCCAGCGCTGTTCCCATCCCCCCAATTCCCCAATAAAAATCTTTAAAAAAAACAAATTAGAAAAAAAAAAAGTTAATGTTCTTGATTTCCCTATTAATTACACAAACACTAATGTTTTCCACCCATTCTCTATGAAATTCTGCGGTAAGGCAATCACTTACCTCCAAAAATGATGTTATCACTAACTTAATAATGACCAAGAAATTTTATATAGATTAGGGAGATGTGCAGTATTTTAAAAAATAAAAATGGAACCACTATTTTCTCTCATATTATCCCATGGCTACCAAGAGTAGAAAGTTTTTCATCACTGATATTGTTTAGAATTGTCAGCACATGATAATAAAAACCAAGCTGACTTTTAGTTAATTTTATTATTGTTTTAAAATTGTCTGTAGACAGTGCACCCCGTATCAACTGTACCAGGGCAGACCACTCCCTCTGCCCTGCCCACGGTGTGTGCCACTGTTTATATCCCACTTACATATGCAAATACAAGTCAGACATATTAACTAACTCTCCTAAGGGCACATTAAAGGCTGTAAACCTCGGACTTCTGACTCCAAGTCCAGTATTGTCCTACTATTCTTCCTCCACTTCTGAGATAGGACAGACAGAGCTTGTTCTGGGGTATAGTACTTTAATAAAAATGCTATACTTCTTGAACAATAAAAAATAGATATTGCCTAAATCTTCCTAAACTCTAATCTAAACCGAGACAAACTCTTGCAATAATATTCATTCCTTCTGTACTTTGCCCCATCTCTCTTGGAATCAAAAACACTAGGGAAATTAACTTCCCCTCCTCTCTGCTTCATGTGTCTAATCAGTCACAAAGCCCTATTGATTCTATCTTCTAAATATTGCTCACATTTATCCCTTCCGATCCTTGGTAAGGGTTTTGCTTAATCAATTAACCTCTTTCAAGAAAACTCCTTCTCCTCACTGGTTCCATCCTCTTGAGTATTGAAACGTGCTCATCATAAACACAATGACACACACATCCTTTGTCTACTTTCCAGCTTTAGCTTGCTGTCACTCCTATTTCCTTCCCTTTGTAGTCAGGCTTCTAAATTCCTGACTTTTCTGACCACTGGGCACATTTTCTCATCTTCCTTTTGCTATTCAACTATTGCAATCTGGTTTCTACCTCAATACTTATTGGAAATTGTGCTTGATCTGTCGGACCTAATGGTCACCCAAGGGTCTATGCAACCATAGTGGACATGGCTGCTTGTTCCTGGCAGGCAGGTGTGGTACATTCTGAGCAGGAACCTCCATTCCCTTGGTGCTGAGCTCACTCACAGGCCCACTCACTGAGGCTCTCAAGTCCATTAGATTTGTACCCAGTTCCCATTAGTACCCACTGAGTGCGGCATTGTGTGGGCCCAAATCCATCTCCTCTTCACCATGAATTTGCAATGCAATTTGCCACAAGACCTCTAGACTCCATAAGAGTTGGGGCACCCTTTTCACCATCCCTCAAACCCCACAAATTCCGTAACATCCCTCCTGGGACAATGCTTCTCATACTTCAACGTATGTATGAATTACCGAGGGATCTTAAACTGCAGATTCTCATTTATTAGGCATGATGTGGGGCATTTCTAACAAGCTCCTAGGTGATGCTGATGTTTCTGGTAGGAGGACTACCATTCGAAGAGCAAAGCTTTTTAACCAATTTTTTTAGTTGTCGGAAAAGTCATGACGTATTTTTGCAACGAAAAACAGAAAAAATATGACATGACTTTTCCAACAACCCAATATTTTAATTACCCATTTGAGCCCAGGCTTTACAGGTGAGTCTCCCCTACCTGGCAACTTCTCCTTTTATCTCTAAAATACATGAAAAGCCTGTTAGCGCCCCACCAGGAGGAAAAGATTGGCTGTTAGAACATCCTTTTGTAATTTGAACTCCCCCCTATCCCTCAGTAAATTCCTTTTTTGCTTAAGTGAGACAGTGCCATTTGTATTGCTTATATCTAAAGTACCTAATCCATACACTACCTTCTTAAAATCTCTTCTGTTCACTGTAAATGCCTTAATTCAGACTCTCATTTCTCCTCTGTGCTATTACAATGTCTTTTTTTAACTGGTCTCCCAGTTGCCAGATTCTCCTCCTACAATCATTCAAAAAATAACTTTTTGTGTATCTAGCAGCTTTCCAAAGTGTGAAGTGCTAGAGATTCAATAAAAAACCATACACAGCTCTTGGCTTCACAGAACCTATAGTCTTCAATGGGAGACAAGTAATGCTTAATCATAAAAACATAATTAAGGGCAGTGGTATGTCCTACAAACCAAGAAAGTCTTCCTCTGAGAGCCTAACATTCATGTTGGAGATGGGGGTGCAAAGGAATTGGGGGGGGAGGGGCGGATTTCTAGGCCAGAGGGAATAGCATGCACAAATGCCCTAAGATGGGAGGTTTAAGGAACTCACAAAAGGCCAGTGTAACTGCAGTGGAGCACAAAAGAAGGAAAGTGGCCCCAAGTGAGACTAGAGAGGAAGCAGATGTCAAATCATGGGGTGCCTTGTAGGAAATATTAAAGATTGGGGCCCTTATCCTAAATTAAATGGAGAAAGCCATTAGAGGGGTTTAATAAGTGAATGGCACGATCAAATTAATTTTGTTTAAAAGAGCATTCTGCCTATAGTGTGGAGTAGGGGCTGGATGTGGGGAGTTGACAGCAGTAGTTCAAAGAAGAGAGAATGAGAGCTAAGATTCAGAAGGAGGATGAAATGATGGAGGAAGTGAATGGATACAAAGATATTTAACAAGGAAAATTCCCAGATCTTGGTGATTGAACATTGGCTGGAGGTGAGGAAGAGGAATTCATCTAAAAAGAATCCTAAGGTTTTGGCTTGTAAACTAGATGAAAGGTGGTGGCAATTTTCTGAGATACATATCCTGTATCAGAATCACCTTCCTATGGGGTTTAGAGCCATGGGCCCATCCACAGTAATCCTGGAAGTCAACCAGTGAATCTGCATTTTAACAAGTGCACTATATCAGGGGTATTCTAATTGTGGTCCTCAGATCAGCAACATGATTACCACCTGGGAACTTGTTAGAAATGCAAATTCTAGGACAGGACCCCAGACCTACTGAATCTGAAACTCTGGGGTTGGGCCCAGTCACTTGTGTTTTAGCAAGCCCTCTAGGGGATTCTGTTGCATGCGCTAAAGTCTTAGAACACCCGGTTTAAATGATTCTGCCCCTCAAATTTAAGATCTCCAGAACTGGATCGGTTTTTCACTTTAGGTTCTCGACTCCTTCCCTACCTGCATCTGCCAGAAACACCCACAGGGAACAAAGCATCCCCCACAAAGGCCCTGTAGGACATTTGTATCCAACCAGAGAGCTTGAGTATGAACGCTTGTTGAATTTGGTCATTAGGGCCCACTCCCGCTTGATCCGGCCTGGCAGTGGTCCCTGAGGAGGCCGACTTGGCACTGTCTGAAGCCCAGGCCTTCAGGCCGAGTAACCTCGGAGAGAGGTGACGGGTTGCGCCGGCTTTTCGGAGGGTACTTGGCCGGCGTCCCGCCCCGCGCTCCTGCGTAAACACGCGGTTCCCTCAGCAACGCCTGAAATCCACGTCAAAGGTTCCGCCAGGTCCCGGGCGACGGCCACCCCTCCGGCCGTGCCCGACTCCCGGCAGCGGCCTCTCTCCCCGGCCCCGGGCCGCCTCCGGCTTGCGGCTGCCCCCTAGTGCGGGATGAGCAGACCCGCGGCCGCGGCCGCCGCCGCCGCCGGGCCGCCCGCCAGCGACCATGGCCTTGCTGGGCAGCCCACACCCCGGCGCCCCCTCGCCGGCAGGCACACCTGGCGGGACTTCCTCCGAGGTGACGGGGGCAGCCGTGCTATCCTTCAGCACCGTGGCTACCGTGGCTACCGCGGCGGCGGTGGCGCTGGGGAACCAGAGCGACGGGAGCGGGGGCGACGGCACTGGCGCTTCGGCTGGCGGCGGCCTCGGCCCACACGGGGCGACGGGGGCAGCGGGGAGGCCGCCGCGGCCCGGAGGCCCGGAGGCGGCGCCGCTGCTGTCGCACGGGGCGGCGGTGGCGGCCCAGGCGCTGGTCCTCCTGCTCATCTTCCTGCTGTCTAGCCTGGGCAACTGCGCGGTGATGGGGGTGATCGTGAAGCACCGGCAGCTCCGCACCGTCACCAACGCCTTCATCCTGTCCCTGTCCCTGTCGGATCTGCTCACGGCGCTGCTCTGCCTGCCCGCCGCCTTCCTGGACCTCTTCACGCCGCCCGGGGGCTCGCCGCCCGCTGCCTCCGCGGGGCCCTGGCGCGGCTTCTGCGCCGCCAGCCGCTTCTTCAGCTCGTGCTTCGGCATCGTGTCCACGCTCAGCGTGGCCCTCATCTCGCTGGACCGCTACTGCGCCATCGTGCGGCCGCCCCGGGAGAAGCTCGGCCGCCGCCGCGCGCTGCAGCTGCTGGCGGGCGCCTGGCTGGCGGCCCTGGGCTTCTCCCTGCCCTGGGAGCTGCTTCGCGCGCCCCGGGAGCCCCCGGCGGCGCAGAGCTTCCACGGCTGCCTGTACCGGACGTCCCCGGACCCCGCGCAGCTGGGCGCGGCCTACAGCGTGGGGCTGGTGGTGGCCTGCTACCTGCTGCCCTTCCTGCTCATGTGCTTCTGCCACTACCACATCGGCAAGGTGGTGCGCCTGTCGGACGTGCGCGTGCGGCCCGTGACCACCTACGCGCGCGTGCTGCGCTTCTTCAGCGAGGTGCGCACCGCCACCACCGTGCTCATCATGATTGTCTTCGTCATCTTCTGCTGGGGGCCCTACTGCTTCGTGGTGCTGCTGGCTGCCGCCCGGCAGGCCCAGGCCACGCAGCCCCCCTCGCTCCTCAACGTGGTGGCTGTCTGGCTGACCTGGGCCAACGGGGCCATCAACCCCGTCATCTATGCCATTCGCAATCCCAACATTTCGATGCTCCTGGGACGCAACCGGGAAGAGGGTTACCGGACTAGAACTGTGGACGGTTTCCTGCCCAACCAGGGCCCGGGCCTGCAGGCCAGAACGCGCAGTCGCCTTCGAAACCGCTATGCCAACAGGCTGGGGGCCTGCAGCAGGATGTCCTCTTCCAATCCAACCAGCGGGGTCGGAGGGGACGTGGCCTTGTGGGCTCGCAAAAATCCAGTGGTACTTTTCTTCCGGGAAGGGCCACCAGAGCCTGTGACAGCAGTGGCTAAACAACCCAAATCCGAAGCTGGGGATACCAGCCTCTAAGAAGGGTTGGGATGCAGAGCTTGTGAAGGTAAAATTTTACCTGCTTCGTTTAATGATACAGGATTCCGGGGAGAATCGTGCATTTCATAAAGCCAAACACTGAAAAAAGAGACAGAGGGGGAGGCTTACCACTTCCCCCAAACAACATACAAGACAATGTCTCCTTCAAAAGTGCCAAAAGGAATGTAAAATGCAGATTAAAACCATCTTAAACCATACAACCAACCATTGTGAACTGTAAGTGCCAAAAAAGACGAATATATAATTCACAATTACTGAAAAGCTCATATTACAGGAATCACACTGTGAAACAAACAAAAAAATCATTGAATGCAATCAATATTTGTTCAAATACATAATTTCAGGAAAAAATGGAGACCTTCAGCATTGCTTGAAGTCCCCCCCCACCCCCCTCCCACCCCCAAATCACCAGCATTCAACAAAACTTCCGATTTCTAGAACTTGCACCTCTGAACTTGCACATGCTTTGGGTGCTTAGGTTGGGAGCGGAAAATTCTTATCCTTAACAAACTTTGGTGCACTTCCTCCACACCACACCCCTCTAAAATTTTTGTGGGAAATTTTAAATTAATATCCCATTTAAAACCATTTTAGGATTTTGAGAAGGTGGTTTATTGCCATAAAATTCAACCACCTGAAATATGAAAATATTCCAAGATTACACTTAAAAATTAATGTTCTTCCCTCAAAATTATTGGCCTTGGCAAGTTTTGAGGCTTAACCCTTACTCTGACATGCAATCTTTGTTTCTAATAATTTGAGGGATGCCACTCTCAGAATGCTTTCACATTTTTAAAAAATAACTTTCATAGTAGAAAATCTTTCTCTTTTGAGGTAAATTGATTTTTCGATGCAGCCAAAAATGTAATTTAAAGTCAAGTTGATTGAATCAGGTGAGTAATGGCACTATTTTATATATACACTAAAATGAGAGCTCTATAAAGTAATACGATTTCATTTTGTTATGTGGTTTTCTAACTAACTGAAGATGTTTCCTAAGAGAAATTCTAAAAGTATTTTGAAAAGTGGCTTCATTCTTGGAATAGGCATAGAGCTTTCAAAGAGGATCATACTCTCCTATATTTGAAAGTTTGATTATATTTGGGGTTTTTTGTTTGTTTGTTTTTTAATAAGATCATTGCTTTATAAACATGACTTGCCTAAAATAATACAGTCTTTATTAGAAAGGGAGAATAGGTATAGAGTTATTATATGTAGTAAGATATGAATAACTTAAGTAAGTCAGAGAGGAACTTCAATCAACCTAGAAATATCTTCAGAAATGTGTAAAACAAAGATGCTTTTTAAAAAATTCAAAAGTACAGTTCAGGATATGTGTATGTATAATTTCTCACATTAAATGTCACTGTACACTTACTCAGAATTTTATGAGATGTTTTCTCCTTTTCTTTCCTCCGTCTTGCCCCTCTTGTCTTCAATATTTCACAGCCTTCATTGAATAAATACTTTAAACTAGCTGCGAAACATCCACTATTAAAGATTTCAGTGTGAAATAGCCACCTTTTTTTGCTTGTAAAGTATTTTAAAATGTTTATTGTATTTAAATTTTTCTATGATAGGTGGGTGTATGCCATTTTGTAATCAAAGATGGGAACATATGATTCATGTCAGAGCTAAAGATGTTTTAATTTTTTTTTCCTCAAGGCATCATCACAATCAGAAGTCAATAAATTATCTGTCTATATCTTGCTACACTCAATGTAGTACAAAGTAGATGAGATAATCTCTCCTCTTCAGTCAGTACTTGTTATATACAGATGTAATGGAACGGAACAAACATTTAACAGAACTCTACAGTATTTGCCTGTTAAAGGCAAAACAGATGTGTATTTTTTAACATTGTGAGAAAGTGGAAATGATGTCTGGATTTAGGGAGAAGTGATGAAGTCTTCCAGTTATGAAAGGTATCACAGAATAGGAATTTAGTAACTATGAATAAAGAGCAGAAAAAGAGGTAGAAATCTTAGGGGAAGGAGACGAGCATGTTACAAAATAGGGTATTGCCTGGGACAGAGAATTAAAGGAAGGTATTTAATAAACATGTTTAGTAAATAAATGTGACATGGAATAAACCTGCCTGGTGAATGAAGGGAACAGCTGAGAGATTCAAAGTGACAAGCAGTGGCATGAAGGACTTTAAGGCAGAAAAGAAAGTCCCACCTTAACTCTTGGTAGGGAGTGGTAGGAAGCTTTAGGAAAGGGAGGGCTTGGGGAAGAGACCGTTCTGTTAATGGCTCTAAGAGTTACGATTAGCAAGACTAGGAGGGGGAAAAGAGAAAGCCGTGAAGAAGTTACTGAACACTTTAGAGTGTTGTGTGTGTTTGTTTAATTCAAGACTATACAATTAGCCAGTGATAGAACTAGGATTTGAACCACAGCCTTTCTGGCCTCAGAGTCCTATGTTCCCTTCTCTACCCTGTGTTGTCCCCACAAAGGTCAAAGGATAGGGAAACTAAGGATGAGAAGTTGTGGTATTGTCATCATCATCATCATCATCATCATCATCATCATCATTATCATAATCCACTGTTTATATTCGTACTTTACATAGGGCAACTTCCTGGGTACTAAGGCTACTAAAAGACAGAAGTCACAATACCTGTCTTAAGAAGGCTTACAGCTTAATTGAGGACCTTGTACTTTATAAAAATTTCCCATAATCAGGACTCTAGTTTATCTGTAGGGAAGAAAAGGTGCAGCATATTCAGAAGTGATTATCACAGGATATGGATTTGGAAGCAAAAGACTTGTAGATAAAGGCCAGCTACCAATCTGGTTTAATTATAAATACTCAGAGACAAAAATTAATCACACGGATAAAAGATGGAGAAAGACTGGGTCTCCAATAAACATAAGACTTGGGCCTTTCCTCGTGCCGACTGAGTACATGATTTTAATGAATTTGTGGGAAAAGGGGAAAGAGGAGCTATGAAATATTGGGATGTATTAAATATGGCATATAATTCATAAGGCCAGAATGTAACCTTTCATATCTCTTTATGCTCCCAGCTTGAGCATTTCATTTGAATTATAATAACAGCAACAAATCTTATTCAGCATAGTACATATATTAGCTCATTTAATCCTCAAAGCAACCCTCTGAGGGGGCGCTGTTATCACCCCTCCCCCCATTTTACAGATGAGAAAACTGAGGCACATAGGTGCTATGTGATTTGCCTGAGGCTGCACAGGAAGTCGGTATAGACGTAAGATTTGTACCTAGCAGACTGGTGCCAGAAATCCTGTCTTAACCACTGCATTGTACTGCCTCTCTAATTTGCAAAAGACAATGGGAAATCTGGAAAAGAGCCAGAGAACATAAAAGCAATAACCAAAAGGATAGGAAAACGCATACCATAAAATTTAAAGGAAAGTACCAGTATTTGTTTAATTTGGAGAACAGCTATATAAGATGTGTGTTTTAAAAATATATGAAGAGGGGCCGGCGAAGTGGTGCGCTGGTTAAGAGTTGGCTTGGGATGCCAGCTCTGAGTGGCAGGACCCCGGTTCGGATCTCACATGAGGGCCAGTGACACTACGCCCTCTGCAGCTGGGATGGTGAACAACAGCTCGACCTGGAGCTGGGCTGCCATAAGTCGCTGGTGCCGACCGCGTAGGTTGCAGTGGGGCTGGCCGGCAGTGGGCATGAGCTTTTGTGAGCCGCTGTGAGCCACCGTGAGCCTCTGTGAGCAGCCGTCCAATGGCTGGCGAGTGACTGCCTCACCCAAGAAGAGCGCAATGATAGTACCAACATGGGCCAGTGAAGCAATGCCCTCCACAACTAGACTGAAGAACAGAAGGACAGCAACTTGTCTGTTCCCCTTCCCTGATTCCCCAACGCTGTTCCCCTCCCCCAATTCCCCAATAAAATCTAATATATGAAGAGATTCTTAGCAATTATTTATAGATATAATCCCAGCCCTGGCTAACCCCAGTCATCTGTCTTCTCAATTCCTGCTTCAGGGCAGCAAAGCACAACTGAAGAAAAATTATACAGAGTCAAATCAGTTAGTTCCCTTTGCACCTAAAATCCATAGCCTCACCTGGGCCCTCCACCCTGCCCAAAAATCTGAACCTCTTTGCTTGTCAGCTCATTCTTTCTGCCCATTTTAGTGACCCTTCAAACTTTCTTCACTCAAACTTTTAACTGACCCTACCCTCTGGGAAGATGACCTTCACTCCTACATCACCAAGAAAATAGAAGCTATCAAATACAAATATCCTCATATTCTAGCCACCAAAAGCAAGGAACTACACTGGATTTATACCAGGTCTCAGCTCTGTCTTTCCAATAGTAACGAAACCAGGCCCTTCTCCAGCCTCGGCTATCTCATGCTGTCAATTATTTCTTCCCCGGGATCCTTAGCCCTTCCAGCTGAGCCAGATCCCTCCCAGGAGCACTTCAGCATGCTCTATAGCTCTCACTTACAAGGGGGAAAAAGCTTCTCCTCTTCCTCCACCCCCTTTTCTCCACAGCTCCCTCCCTTCAACTTGCCTTGTCCAAAGAATTGCTTGCACTTTTACAGCTGATCTAAAGCCTAATCCATGGTTTTCACGGTGCGAGAAAGTCATTTTTATGCAACTGAAAAATGTTCCCCCTCCCCTATTCTCCCAGATGGCAGAAACGTATGATGGTAGCATCCAGGTTCTAGGGGTTTATTTAACACCAAGGCATTCATGAGCATTAGTCTTCAGTGGTCATCTGCTGAGGCATCCACCAGTCTGTCTCCTGTCATATCCATAGCTTACTGCGTGATTATCCCCTCGGTCCAAGAGGACCTGTCACGTCCAGCGTGGCAAGGGCAAATGGGACACGAGAGGGGCGGCGCAGATTGAATAAGTACAAGAGACAAAAGTAAGATTTAAGAGCGAGACCAAGGGACTCAGCCTTCAGAGATAGACTGAGCCACCGAATAGGGTCAACGCATGGTTTTTATTG